AAGTACCTCATAAAAGTGAAGTCATATAATATTTGTCTTTTTGTGACTGGCTTATTTCACTTACCACTAATGCCCTCAAGTTTCATTCATGTTGTAGCACGTGTCAGAATTTCCTTACATTTTAAGGCTGAATGAGAGTCCATTGTATGTACGCACACACCACGTTTTTGTTTATTTACTCCTTCCTAATGGACACTGGGGCTGCTTCCTCCTTTCGGCTATTCTGAACAATGTTGCCATGAACACGGCTGTACAAATATTTCTTCGAGACCTTGCTTTCAGTTCTTTTCAGTATAACCCAGAAGTGGCATGGCAAGATCATATGGTAATGCTGATTTTTAATTAATGTTTAATTTTTTGAGGAACTGCCATAGTTTCCATAGGGGCTGCATCATTTACATTCCCACCAACAGTGCACAAGGGTTTCAATTTCTCCCCATCCTCACCACCACTTGTTATTTTATGCTTTATTCATTTATTTTAAAGCAAGCAAGCATTCATTGAGTATCCACTATGCCAAGAAACTGGGAGAAACTTGGCAGAAACTGGGGCTGCCAAGATGTTAGGTCTGTTTCCCTGCTCTCGGGAACTTAGAGCACAATGGGGGAAACAACTACATTCAAGAGACAGGTTAAAATGCAAGGTGATAGGTGCTTAATAGAGATGGAACATAGTTCTATGTAAACACAGAGGAGGAAATGAGGAATTATTTGGGGTAGGCTTCACAAAGGCCCTGACATTCAAGCTGGGTGTTAAAAGGTGAGTGTAGGAGGTCAGGTGGAGGGAAGGGTATTCTAAGCTGACAGCACTTAGTAGCCAGCATCCAAGATGGCCTGCAGGATCGCCCCATTATTCTTACCTCCTGGTAGTCATGCTCTTCTAATTAATCCTCCCATTATGCATTGGGACATCGAATGGTTCTGAGTCATGAAACCAATGGGATATTGGGAAAGTGTGACTTCTGAAGCTATATCAGAGACGACCTTGTGGCTGGCTGCCTGCCTTGCACCCTCTTGGATCTCTCACTTTGGGGGAAGTCAACCGCCATGTCATGAGGACACTCAAGATGCCTTCTGGAGTCCTAAGTGAAGGGGAACTGAAACCCCTTGCCAGCTGGTCAGCATGAGAGTACCAGTGTCGACTTGTCTGCCATGTGAAGAAGCCAATGGAAGCCAGTCCTCCTGCTCTATCAAGACTTCAGATGACAGACCGCAGCCCTGGACAACATCTGAATGCAACTGCTTAAAATTCCCTGAGCCAAAACTGCCCACCAAATTGCTTGTGATTTCCTGACCAAAACCACCCAAAAGCAGCCAAAACCCATGTGAGATAATATCTATTTATTATTGTTTTAAGCCACTAAGTTTTGAAATATTTTTTTTACACAGCAAACAATGAAAAGATCTGGCATACAGGCATACCTCAGAGATATTTCAGGTTGTTCCAGATCACCACAACAAAGTTGGTCATAATCTTTTTGCTGGTGGAGGGTCTTGCTTTCAATTCGTTAAAAAAAAAAAAAAAAGCAACATCTGTGAAACACAATAAAAGCGAAGTGCAATGGTAGGCCTGTATTGTGAAATGGTGGCAGGAGAGGCTACAGCCAGGAACTCAAGTTTAGAGATGCTTCTGAAATCCAAGGACTGTTTAAGAGTAGGAGAGGGAGCCATCTGGTGGAGGAAGGTGTGCTTAGACATTCCCTTCCTCCCCATTCCTATTTTTCTAGGTTGTTCTATCCAGCATTTCTTTCTGGAATTTCTCCAAGGGCCATAGTGAGGTTTATGAGTCAATTATGTGGGCTATACACATGGTTACTTATAAATGCAAAGGCTAATCTCTGAAAAATGTCAATTTAAGGTATTAATTATCCTCTTTTACTATTTTATTTTCTCCATTAGTTTCTTCCACCTATCTGCTATCCATGGGAAAACATCAGGGGCACCAGGATTTGAGGCAAAGAATGAAGACTCAGAATGCTGGAGAAAGGAAAGAAGGAACTAAGAGAACTTGATTATGCAACATCAGGGTCAGACCTTAGAAGGCTGTGTACAGCTGGCCAATCTCTTAATTACCAGAAGCTTTTGTTCGTTGAAGTCAAGTTGGCCATGACTGTTGTTCCTTTCTGGTCTTTAGAGGCTTCTTATATCTTCCAATGATCCCCCTAAATTATGTCTAAGAGTTCTTGAATAATATCCCTCAATTCTATAGTTGCCAAAATGGAGAACCAATAATACCACTAGCCACAGCCAGCCTGAGGTCAGTGACCCAGGCAGACCCAAGGAGGAGAAACTGAAATTTATCTCTGGAGTAAATTACTGATAGTGAGATTTCAGGTAGTTAAGATATTGAGGAAAACATTTCTCCTTTTATACTTCCTCTTGACTCATCCTAAATAGAAGAGGCAGTGTCCAGCAGACAAACCTGGGCCACAAAGCCAAGCCCATTCCTTTAATAAGTAGGGATATTTCTGAATATAATTAGTGGTATACAGTAGCCCCCCTTATCTGCCGTTTTACTTCCTACTGTTTCACTCACCCTCAGTCAACCATGGTCCAAAAACATTAAATGGAAAGTTACAGAAATAAACAATTCATAAGTTTTAAATTGTGTGCTATTCTAAGTATAGTGATGAAATCTTGTGCTATTTTGCTCTGTTCTGCCAGGGATGTGACTCATACCTTTGTCCAGTGTATCCATACTGCATATGCTACTGGCCCATTAGCTACTTAGCTGTCTTGGTTATCAGATCACTTGTTGTGGTATCACAGTGCTTATGTTCAAATAATCCTTATTTTACCCAATAATGGCCCCCAAACTCAAGAATAGTGATGTTGGTGATTCAGATATGCCAAAGAAAAGCTGTAAAGTGCTTCCTTTTACAGTACAATAGATATTTTGAGAGAGATCACATTCCCATAACTTTTATTACAGTATAATTGTTCTACTTTATTATTAGTTATTATTGTTAATCTCTTACTGTGCCTAATTTATAAATTAAACTTTACCATAGGTTGGCATGTATAGGAGAAAACATAGTATATATAGGGGTTTGGTATTATCTGCTGGGGTTTCAGGCATCCGCTGGGGGTCTTGAAACATATCCCCCATCCCACACCCCCATAAAGTGGGACTACTGTATGTGGGAGTCTATCTGTCTACATTCTGGCTGTTGGAAGAGTAAATGATTGCTTCCAGCTGGGGCAATCAGGGAAGGGGTACAGACATTTGACTCCTGCTTAGATGAAAGGATTGGATTGGGACCAAAGCAGGCGTGGGGGAAGGACATTCCTCCCCAAGCTCACAGCACAAGCGAGGCCATGCCCAAGCAATGGAGGGGCTCAGTAGGCTAAAGTTAAGAGACTCTTGAAGAGGAGCAGCAGAGGATGAGGCCAATAAATTAAGACTAAGATGGGGGGTGGTATGATTGGGTGCACCAGAGTCAGCTGGTTCAAATCATGCTTCCACTTGCAGGTTGGCCGAGTGACACTGATGAGGTTCCTTAACATGTCTCAGATTCTTCATCTGTAAAATGGCGATAACCCTAAAAGGGTTGTTGGAGGACTAGCTAAGACAATACCCATAGTATTAGTCCAGTGCCTGGAGAGCTTAGTCCAGTGCCTGGAGGCTGGTAAACCCTAAGCAGGCGCTAGCGTTGTTATTAACGCAAAGCCATCGGGCGTGTGCTTTAAGCGCGTTTAACTGGACGACACGGCGAGCCGCGGTCGGCGCTGGGAAAGGCTCGCGCGAGCCCCTCGCACCGCAGCTGCTCGGGAGCGGCCGAACGGGACTGCATTCCCCGCTAGGCCGACGGGGCACACAGTTTCTGCCTTTCGTGGCCTCACGGTTCCGAGGGGACTTAAACGCGGGAGGAAGACGCATACGGAAATTCTTCAGTTTGGCTTCTTGCCAACAGTTCCCTGCCGGGAGCTTTCTGAGCGACCGGGACGCGGCGAGGGGCAGGGCGCGGGAGAGCAGGGTCCCGGGGCTCCGCAGGCCGCTCCAATCATGGTTGCGCAGGGGCAGAACGGAGTCAGGGCGGGGCTGAGGAGGGAAAAAGGCGCAGGCGCAGTGCTGACTGGAGCCCCTACCTGCGCTGGAGCGGGCGGAGCTAAACCCGGGAGCGGAGCCGGGGGCGGGGCGAACGCGATTGCGTCACGGGCACGCACAGCGAGGAAGCGTCGGCGGCGGCGGGGGAGGCGGAGGTTTTCGGACGAGCGACTTCAGAGCGGCACCCGAGAGAGGCGCGCTGCCGGGGTGGGGCGGGCCTGAGTTACCGCTCCGGGGCCCAGCGGCCCTATCAGTGCCCCCAGGCCGTCCCCGCCCCTCCCTCCACCAACCCAGCGACCGAGAAGGTGAGGCGCCACCCGCTCCCCTTTCCCTTGCTTCTGTCGATTGTGCGGAGTTGGGGGCCGCCACCTGCTGGCCCGGCGACCTTGGGCGTGGCCTTCTTTGGTTTGGGCCGCGGGGCCCTGTCAGGCTCCTAGGGCTGCGGACGTGGTGGTCCAGGCCCTTGCCGGCGCTGACCTGCTTCACCCTTCCCGGACTCCTACCTCGCGCCGCCCTGGGTCCTTTCGTCCTGTGTCAGCCTGCGGGGATTTCGGGCTCCCAGTCACCCCCACTCCTTTGTCACCCCCACTCCTGCCGTTAGATTGCATCCCATTGCTTGGGACTGGTTNTTGTTACCCCCACTCCTGCCGTTAGATTGCATCCCATTGCTTGGGACTGGTTTATGTTGCTGTGCGCCGAGGTCCCGCCCCCTTGTTTTCTGTTTAGCGTTTGTGTAGGACTTTGACATTAGGAAAGAGGGTGAGCGTTTCCTGTGGCTCTCCTCATTAGAGAAGGGAGACGGGGCACTTGGGAAGGTGATGACTGCTCCGTGGGGTTCAAGGGAGGAAAAGGGGGTGGTAATGGGCAGGGATGGTCCAGGACTTGTTGGGAACGGAAGGGAGAGGGAAGGGTTAGGGAATGAGGAGGCGCAGAAGAAAGCACTGAGGTCCTGAGGATGGACAGTTCATTTAGTCACTGTGCGCCCACTGTGTGCAGAAACAGTGGTGAATGAACGACATAGTCCTTGACCTGGTGGGCTCAAAGTCAAGAGGGGCAGCCTGGGAAGAAAGCGAGGAGTGTTACTTTGGTGTGATAAATGCTGTTAGGGTGAGTACATAATCCTTTGAGAGCATTGGGGAGGGCCTCCTAGTCTGGACTGGAGGTGTTGTGTTGGCAAAGACTTCTCAGAGCAAGGGAGTGATATTTAAGCCAAATACCCGAAGGAGGAATAGGAGTTAACCAGGTAAGAAGTGGGGGAAAAATATTTCAGGACATTAATTCTCTTGAGATCCCAGGCTGCCTCCCTTCAGCAACTATGTGTGCTTGGTCTTGACAGTTTATACTCTTGATGGTCTGTGGGAAAAAGAACAGTAGATGGAGAGTCAGCAGAGCAGGATTTTATATCTGGGTAATTCATTTCACCTTGCTGGCTGTTAGTTTCCTCCTCTGTGAAATGGACGTTCCACCTGTAGTCCTGCCTCCCTCACAGGTTGATTGTAGGCACTACATGAAATAATGCAAGTAGAAGTGTGTGGGGCATTGAAAGTGTGATGCAAATGTCAGGAATTATTATGGTTACAGGATGCAGTCATCTGAGCGTGAGGGGTGTGGGCCTGAGGCCAGCCCCAGTGTGATGCCTGAGGCTCCCCTGGAGTCTCCACCTGCCCCTGCCAAGTCCCCTGCCAAGTCGCCGGCATTTGATCTTTTCAACTTGGTTCTGTCCTACAAGAGGCTGGAGATCTACCTGGAACCCCTGAAGGATGCAGGTGACGGTGTCCGGTACTTGCTCAGGTACAGACTTTGTAGAGTTGCTCTGACCTGCTGGGTTTCCTGTCTTCCTGCTCTGTAGTTGCACTGGCTATTTAGGCAGTGGCTGGGCTGTCCTTTCTGCCCTAGTGAAGGTCCATTGGGCCTCTGGGCTTATTCCAGGTCCACCCTTTGTCTCAGGCCCAGCCCAGGAGAGGCAGGCACTGGGAACCATCTGGCCTTTCACCAGGGTTTCTTCTTTGTGGTTGAATAAGCTCGTACCTCAGGGTTGCGAGCTAGTCTTGAACATTGAGTCTTCTATATCTAGAGCAGGCTTTTTCCTCCCTTCCAATATTAGCTTAATTAATGTTAAAAATAGAATATAATATTGAACGTAAGTTAAAGAAATACAAATACCTATGAATAAGCAGGTACCATGTTCACGAATCCTGTAGGATTATGGATCTCAAATTTTTTTGTTCCTATTCTGCTTTGATTTTTGTTCTACATAATTTTCTTTTTCTTCTTTCAGCTCATTTTATATCTTATGTTAAAGTATTTTAAATTACACATATGTGACATTCACTCTCTAAATACTCCTGTTTGTCTCTAAATAAGGACTTTTTTTTCACAATCAAAGTAACATCATAGCTAACAAAATTAACAGTAATCCTATGATATCTTCCTATACCCAGTTCATTTTCAGATTTTCTCAGTTGTCTCAAGAATGCCATTTATAATTTTTTTTGGCCAAATCAGGTTCTAGTCCAGACTATACATTCTCTGTGGTTACTATGTCTCCTAAGTCTTTCTCAATCTAAAATGATTTTTTTTATGACATTGACTTGCTGAAGAGACTCAGCTCACTATTCTGGAGAACTTCCTACACAGATATGTCTGGTTGCTTCCTCATGGTGCATACTGCAAGTTAGATGTAAAGGTTGGATTAGATTCAAATTTAAAAGAACTTTTTTTTTTAAACAAAGGTTCTGTGTTCTTAATATTGCATCTCAGTGGGAGTGCGTAAAACCTGGTTGTCCTAAAGAGCAGGCATTGTTGCCCTGGAGCCTGTGAAATGGGCTTTAAGGGGCATGTGAAACTCTTGAAACTGAATGAAAAATTGTATGTGGCCACATGTGTGCATGTCTAGGGAGAAGCTTCTAATTTTATTAGATTTGTATGTGGCCACATGTGTGCATGTCTAGGGAGAAGCTTCTAATTTTATTAGATTCTCATAAAGGACCTCCAACCCTCTAAGATGCTCAAGAGAGACAGGTAGTAGGTAGAGTAAGTGGAGTTAACCTCTAAGGGTGCTGTTGATAATCATTCTTACCTCAGTGTGAAAATAGTGGGAGATTTATTTTTAACTTTCTGACCAAATCTCTAATTTTCCTTGTTCTTCCCAGAACCCCTTTAATTTATGGCATTATCTCTGGAGATGAGCTAGTTAATGTTCCAGATCAGTGTTCTCTACTGTTAAATCACTGTACTCTTGGTGCAAGTAACGGTGAAATAGTATGAGGAAGGGCTCATTTTATAATCCCACCATGACCAACTATCTGAGATGAATTTCAGTCTTCCTTTGGGGAGGGGGTGGGCTCTGGAGAGCATGGGGCTGTGTTTACTACTATGGGTGTGGGTGTACACGTGTATGAGTGCAGATGTATGTATGTGTGTATACATGTGTGTGTTTTGTCCCTTTTTTTGCAAACCGCAAAAGTTAAATATATTTTGCCCTTCTTTTCTGCCACTGGCCTGTTAGTGCTTCTTAGCACTAATGTGTTAGGGTTTTTTTCTTTTATGAAATTAGAAATCTGAGGATGTGGTGAGATTGATTAAAGCTGGATGGAAGAGAAGCATTGGGCATAAAAAGCCCTTAGGAGCTTGTGGTCTCTGTGCCCCCCAGGGAGAGGGAGCACTGGTCTGTGAAAGTGGCTGGTAGATTAGTTTGTGCGTTTGTTCTTTTCTTAGTAAAGAGGATTTGACTTTGAAGAGGGACCTAATCTTGAGCTGTGGCTGTTAGGTCTGAAGCCTAGGGCTGCAGTAGATTTTTAAAAGACTCCTCTCTTCTGGGATCGGCTACTCCAGCAGGTAGATCTCCATGTCTGAAGCGTCAGTGAAGACAGATAGAATGGGAGAGGCTTTAAAATGAAAGTGACTTCAGGGGCTGTATGATGCTTTTATTTCTGAAATGAGATTGGCCTTAGACCTGACTATTAATTTGCTTTTACCCTGGTAGCTGCCACTAGATGGTCTGGAGGCCTAATTAGGGTGGTACAGTTGGAATGTGTTAAATTTTAAGATACAGTCCGAGAGAGGTCATTCATTCCCTTGCTATAACTGTTAAGAAAGAAAAGCAGCTCATAAGTTAGTAACTCTGAAATATCCCAATTAGAGCAAAAAACCCCCAAACATTTAGGTTCTATTTGTTTTTCTCCTCTGATGGCTAGCCTTAAATATACTGACATTGTTCTTTAGACTGTAGGTGTCAGTGATGTCATTACTACATCAGTGCTCCTTTTTCCATATGAAATGTCTTGTATCAGGGACTAAGCCAGCAGTGTTTGCTTGTCCTCAGCAGCCTGAGTCTCTGGTCTTTCTTCCCTCTTTGGAGGCTTCTGCTTTGCCATTAGGTGGTGATGGTGGGAGCTGGGTCTGTGTTTGCTTCTATCTGTTCCTGTTCATGTAGGGAATATTTGCTGAGAGAATGCTACACCTTGGCTTTGTCCTCATTTTTTAATATATTAAAATATTTTTCTCTTTTTGAATTAATGTAGGTTTAAAACAAACTCTCAAAATTGCAGAAGTGAGAAGAGAAAGTTAAAAATGGGATCAAGGAAATCCTTTATATTTTGTTCTCTTGATTTCTGTATTAGATGAATCTTGTGCAGCGAATATATATATGTTCTTATGAAACTGTAAAAAAGAATATGTTACATGTAAATTATATCTCAATAAAAAAATAAAGGAAAATTTTAAAGAAGAATGTTTGTTATTCGCACCTTTGGAAGAGAATAGGACCTTTCAAAACACAGGTTAAACTGTGTTTACTAGGTTTCTTTTTTTTTTTTTTTTTTTTAGCACCCCAGGGGGTTGTGTGGATGTGCACAAACAACTGTCAGCAAATGGTTGTTGGCACCAGTTCAACACCAACAGGAATCTACAGTTTGGGGTACAGTGAAGAAGGAAACTTTATTCAATCCAAAACAGCTCAGCTGTGGTACGGCAAGGCTGTGAAAACAACAGACTATGAGGCGGCCCTGAGGCCAGGCTCCTCTCTGGCTAGACAGCTCTGCCTGCTCCTCGCTGGTCGGCTCTGCTTTGCCCGCCCCGTGCTAGTCTGCTTTGTTCTGCGCTAGTCTGGTCCACTCTGCTTGGCTTTGGTCGGCTCTGTTCTGTGCCAGTCTGCTCTGGCCTGTGTTTGTCTGCTCCACTGTGCTCCAGCGGGACATCTTTGGTGTTTCAGCCCCAGCCAGGGAAATGCAGTCTTAGGTAGAAAGGGAAGGTGCACTCCTAACTAGGTTTCTTAGTAGATAATGTTATGAATGTTTCCTTCTCCTTGGTGCAAGTGCCACAGGTCTTCTAGTTCTAAGAGGGTATCTTTTCTCACCCCAGGCCTAATATGTGACTTTAACTCCTCTCCCAGTCATCTGTCCAAGTGAGAGACCCAGTTTTCATTTCTCCTTGACACCCTGAGCTCCAGGCCCCTTCTTCTTGGCTCCTGGTTTTAATGACTCATCCTCCCCTTCCCACCTGGAGGAACAACTGTCTGGTCTTTAGTGACTAGAACTCTCTGTGTTGTAGGTGGCAGACGCCTTTGTGTTCCTTGCTGACCTGCCTGGGCCTCAACGTCTTGTTCCTCACTTTGAATGAGGGTAAGAACTTCCAGGGGCAGGGTTTGGTTTTGTTTTTTGTTTTGTGAATGAATGTGGGAAGGAATTCCAAAAAGCAACCCTAGGTGAAAGAGCCACTGGTCTTGCCTTGGAGTTGGCCTCCCTCTGTGTCTATATGATGTCAGAACACAGGTTCTGGAGAGAGACACTCTGGGCTAGAATCCTGGCTGGCTGGTGTGCCCTAATGCCTAATTTTCCTCATCTCTAAAGGGAGGGTATTAACAGTGTTTTCCTCAGAGGGGAGTTGTAGGGCATGAGAGCATTTATGTATAACTCTTAGCTCAGTGCCTGACACAGAGTGAGCAGCCAATACATGACAGTAGTCCCCCCTTACCCATGGTTGTACGTTCCATGGTTTCAGTTGTCCGCTGTCATCCTACTGTGTGCTAGAATGGGTTTTAAAAATATTTTCAAAAAGATTAAATGGAAAATTCCAGAAATAAGCAATTTATAAGTTTTAAATTGAGTGTGAATATGAGTAGCCTAATGGAATCTCTCACCATCCTGCTCCTGTCCTTCCTGGGATGGGAATCATCCCTTTGCCCAGTATATCCACTCTGTATATGCTACTTGTCACTTTGTAGACCTCTTGGTTATCAGATTGACTGTCATGGGACTGCAGTGCTTGTGTTCAAGTAACCCTTTTTTTAAACTAAATGATGGCCCCAAAGTGATGCTGGCAATTTGGATATGCCAAAGAAAAGCTGTGAAGTGCTTCCTTTAAGTGAAAAGGTGAAAGTTCTTGACTTAAGGAAAGAAAAAATATTGTATGCTGAGGTTGCTAAGCTCTACAGTAAGAACAAACCTTCTACCCATGAAATTGCCTAATTTATTAATTAAACTTTATTATAGGTATGTCTGTATAGGAAAAAACGTAGTATATGTAGGATTCTGTACTATCCACGGTTTTAGGTATCCACAGTGGGCTTGCATCGTATTTTCTGCAGGTCAGGGGATCTTCTATATAGCTGTTATTGTTATTGTTTCCTTCTTGTCTGAATGCTCTTTCCAGTTCGATTTCCAAGCTGATTCTGGGGTCATTTGGGGCATGACATGGGGTGAGGGGACCAGGAAGGTGGGCTCATGTGTGGACAGGTGGGTGGCTGTATGGGTCCTGGGTAGTGATGTCTCCAGGGGACCTTTTATGACAAAGTATGCCGTGACCCAGCTTTTTCTTGTTGCAACTGGCAGATGGCTGCAAAAACAAGCTGACCCCCTCAGGGGAAATGAGTGAAGGACGTGGGACAGATTGTTCTGAGGAGCTGGGTCCTTTACTCATGTAGTCATTCTTTTGTTGAACCCTCATTTCCCAAGTATCTCCTTTGTTTCCTATGGAGAGATGGACTCAGTGGGTTGAAAATAAACCCATTTCACATAAGACCTCCTGTTGGTTCTCATTGGGGCTCTTCTTTGCCTGATTCAACTCAGATATCATTTCCAGGCTGTTAGGTTTTCCCGAACATATTTCCAAAGTAAATCAGTTCATGTGACAGATATTTAACGAGCATTTACTCGGTGCCCAATGCTCTGTTAGCCTGCCTCAGGGGTACCAGTGATCCTTTGGATTTTTTCTCAGCCTCAACATTTTCTAGTCCACAGTGTTCTAGGATATCCTCAAAGCCAAAGGAGAGGTTTCCAATCTGCCCAGTGACCCAAAGGTCAGAATGTCAGTCATCGGGAGCCCCCAGTGGCCATACTCCAGGCTTGAGCCACCTACTGTTTGCTAATATAGATTTTTAAATATTAAAAACATGAATTTGGTGCTATAGACAAAGTCCCAGCCCTCAAGAGTCTAGATTTGTAGAAGAGACAACAGCTACACCTATAATCTGTCATGTGATAAGTTTTGTGAAGTAAAATAAAGCTGAGGTAAGGGGCTGGAGAGTGAGGGGGGAGACACTGTTTCCTATGGAGTGATCAAAGAAGGCCTCTTGTGCAGAGCCTTGGAGGAGGTGAGGGAGCAAGCATGTGGACCTCTGGGTGGGTGAGACTCCTGATCCTTGCTACCTGTTTACCTACAGTATTATTGGTCCCACAGGTGCATGGTATTCAGTGGGTGCCCTGGTGATTTCAGTGCCCGCTCTTCTGGGCTACCTGCAGGAGGTTTGCCGGGCACGGCTGCCCGAGTCTGAGCTGATGCGGAGGAAGTATCATAGTGTGAGGCAGGAGGACCTGCAGAGAGTTCGCCTGTCTCGCCCCGAGGCTGTGGCTGAGGTGAAGAGCTTGTGAGTATGGAAGGGGCTGGGAGTGAGGGACAGTCACAGTAACACCTCCCAAACACTGAGTGTGCCAGGCATTGTATTAGGCAAACCACAGATGTTATTCCCTTTCATCTTTTTAACAGTTCTGGGAGGTAGCTACTGTTATTATCCTGCATCTGTGGGTGAGGAAGAGGGCTTTTATAGCTGGAAAGTGACCAAGCTGGGATGAGAATCCAGATCCAGCCAGTTTCACAGCTTGTGTTCTTTCCATTAGAGAGACAGATTAAGGTCTTGTCTTAGCATGTGTGTACAGGAGCCACTGCCTGGGTTCAAATCCTAGCTCCTATATTTACTTGCTGTGTGACACTGGGCAGGTTGCTCAGCTTTCCTGTGCCTCAGGTGCTTCATCTTTTAAGTGAGGTAGTCATAGGCTTACCTCATAGGTGGCTTTGAAGATTAAACAAGTGTCTAGTACCCAGGAAGTGTTCAGTAAATATTAGTCATCGTCACTGCACTGTGGGGAAATTTCTTGAATGTGACAGAGCTGGTACATCTGAGGAAGCACCTTAAAATTGTTGAATAATATTAATATAACTTCAGTGGCAGCTGCCATTTAGTGAGCCCTCCCCAAATTGGGCTCTTTTGACACAGCAAGGTTCTCATCCTCCCTGGGCAGCCAAAAAAAATAGAGTCACCCCTCCCTGAAAATCTGAACCAGTTATCTGGAGTGGGGCCTGAGTATCTGGCTTTTTAAAAAATTTAAAGAAATCTTTCATTTTGGAAAGATTTTAAGCTAAACTGGAATGTATAGTTTCAGTTTTTATTAGGGTATAGATTATAGTTAGTAAGCTCGTATATGACTTATTAAAGTGAGGTTGTGAAAGTAAAAAACAAAACAAGCCAAAACTTACAGAAGAGTTGCAAGGATAATACAAAGAACTCTCATATGCCCTTTTCTCAGATAGAACAGTTATCAGCATTTTGCAACATTGGCTGCATCTGTTTCTCTTCACATCATTTTTTGCTTCCTGAACCATTTGAAAGTAAGTTGCAAACATCAGGCCTGTTCACCCCAGATACTTTAGCGTGTATTTGCTAAGAACAAGGACATTCTCTTATATAGCCACAGTCCTGTAATCAAAATTAGGAAAATTTATATTGATAACATTAACATTAACATTATTATTTAATATAGAGTTCATAATCACATTTTACCAGTTGTATTAATAAGCTCTTTTATATAAATTTCCCCTGATCCAGGATCCAATCCAGAATCATGCATTTCATTTAGTTGTTTGTTTTTAAAAAAAATATGTTTTAATTGATTTTTAGAGAGAGAGGAAGGGAGAGGGATAGAAAGAGAGAAACATTGATGAGAGAGAAACATTATCAGTTGGCTGCCTCCTGCATGCCCCCTACTGGGATGGAGCCTGAAACCTGGGCATGGGGTCCTGACCCGGAATTGAACCTCTTGGCTCATGGGTTGATGCTCAGCCACTGAGCTACACCTGACAGGCTGCATTTAGTTTTTATGTCCCTTTATCTCCTGTAACCTGGAGCAGTTCCTCAGTCTTTGTTACGACCTTGACATCATTTTTATAGAACAAGCTTATTATTTTGTATTTTCCTCAGTTTGGGGTTGCTTGGCTCCTCATGATTACATTCAGGTTATGCATTGTTGGTAGTGACAAGTGACATTGTGTCATTGTTAGTGGATTGCATCAGAAGGTACATGATGTCAGTCTGTCTAGTTACAGAAGATACTAACTTTGATTCCTTGGTTAAAGTTTCTCCACGGTAAGATGACTCTTTTACTCTTGAGAGTTAGTAATCTGAGGGAGATACACAAGTAAATACCTTGTTGCTCATCAAACATTTACCCATTACTTTTAAGTCCATTGATGGATCTGCCTTCACCAATTTATTCCTATGATGGTTGCAAAAGTAATTTTCTAATTGTCATTATTAGCTGGCATTCTACTGTAATTCTTAGTTATTATCAATATGAACTCAAGATTTTAAAATTTAACTCAATGGGTCATAATCCATTACTTTTACTATTTATTTTCATCTCAAATTGTCCTGGGTTTTGCCAGTAGGATCTCTTTTGAACTGTTCTTTCACTATGGCCCCATCTGTTTTGAGTGCTTCCTTACTTTATGGGACAATAGGATGTTCAAATTCATCTTATGCTTTTCCTGCCCTAGCTCTAGAAACAGCCATTTATCCAAGGAGCCCTTCAGAAACCAAGATCTGGGTGCTCATTGTACAACCTTGTGCTATTGCTTTTGGAGTGCATCCATTAAAAAAAGCTCTCCAAGTGAGTCTGCCTTACACAGCAGGTGGAGACACATTGATCTGTCTACCTCCTGTCATTTATCCTCACAGCTCTAGTGTATTTGTGAGGTGGGTACCCTGCTCATTTAATAGAGGAAAATGGCAGCCCAGTTAAGTAAAGATAAGTAACTTGGTCTCATAGCTTTAGCTAGAAAGAGACCAAAGGAGAAACTTTTGTCCTGTTTCCATCTCAACAGGGATTACAAAAAGGGGACTGAAATGTATGAATGTTCTCCTGAGCTCTCTGGCCACTCTCGAGGGTTTGAAGAGGCTGGCCATCCCGAGCTAGCTGTGCCTGTGAAGTCCTAGGCTCTGCCGCCCCACAGCTCTGTCAGGCCCCTTGGGTGAGTGGGGCAGGGCGTGCAGCTCACAGAAGCCCCTTGTGTCTGCAGCTTGATCCAGCTGGAGGCCTTCCTGCGCCGCCTGTGCTGCACCTGTGAAGCTGCCTATCGAGTGCTGCGCTGGGAGAACCCCACCGTGTCCTCACAGTGAGTGGCCCCTCCACTCCCACCCCCACTGCCCTGGAGGAATTTGCAAATGAGCCCCAGGCAAAGCCAGCTGCCTCGAGTGTCCCAGTGCCCCAGCCCAGGGGAAAAGAGCTCCTGAAGCTCTTGTGTGCAGACCTGCACATAGGCTTGTAGGTGGGAACGCACTGCTTTTGTCTATGGTAAAAATATTTTAAAAATAGAAAAATAACTTGCTATGTAATCTCCCACCCTGATATACCTGCTGACACCATGTTTAGACTGACTTAAGAGTTCGTTATATGCATATATTCTGTAACTTCATAGTGTATGTGAGATTCTCTTTTTTTTCTTTTTCACTTGCCATTATATATCATAAATGGTTTTCTTTGTTGCTACATGGCTTTTGGAATTACTGTAATACCAGATTAATATCGATAGTGAATATACTGTGATTTATAGAACCATTCTGTTATACATTTAGTGAGTTTTTACTTTTATTACTAACCCTGTAGTGAACATTTGTATGGGTTTAGCTTTAATCTTGAAAATTTTTTCTTAGAATAAATTAAAGGATGGAACTACTGGATCAAATGGAAGGGATGTTTTTTAAGCCCTTTATATATAAGTAATGACAACTAACAGTTATTTAGTTTTCCCCTCGTGCCTGGCTCTGTGCTCAACACTTGCCATGTATTGTCTCATTCTTCATAGTAACTCTAGGAGGTAGAGTGAAGGAGATAACACTCAGAGTACCAAGGGACTTGCCTAAGGGTACACAGTGAGAAGTGGCTATGCTGGATTCAAAGCCAAGTTTGTCTTATTCTAGACTTCAGAGTCTAGAGCCTGAGGAGTAATGAGCGTTGAACCAGTTTACATGGCCCCAGCCTCAGCCATGATGGTGGCCTCATCAGTGCCCGCTGTTAGCAACCAGTGACTTGTTGGTAGTTGTAAGGCCTTCCACCTTGCTTTATTGTCCACTTGTTTGTTTAGCAGATCTTGTCAGTTTACTAACTGTACAGAGCTATTTCATGGGTGTGGTCAAAATTGTTTCCTTCTGATGAGTTTCCGATCCTGTGGTTCCTCTGTTGATCCAGGTTCTATGGGGCTCTTCTGGGCACGGTTTGCATGCTGTATCTGCTGCCGCTGTGCTGGGTCCTTGCCCTTTTAAACAGCACACTCTTTCTAGGGAATGTGGAGTTCTTCCGAGGTAAGCCCTGGAAAGCCTTGTTATCTGTCTCTACCGCTGATCGGCTGTTTGCTATTCCTTCCACAAGGGGGCAGCACCACATTAAGTGGGCTCTGCTGGGCTCTGCCTCTCTGAGATGTCTGGCGGACACCGGGGAGGCTGCTACCGTAGGGGTCCCTCTGCCTTTCTGAGGCAGGTGAATCAATGCTTGTGTGATATTGTAGCTTCTGGGAGGTGAGGGCGGGATGCTTTCCCAGTGCTGCCACCCCACTCCTGGGACACAGCCCCCTGGAGTTGCTGTTATATATCTGTGTGATCCTAGAGTCCCCGTCTGCCGTCTGCCTTCTAAAGCAATGAGGCAGTCTGGAGAGGCCCTGAGTCACAGACACTTGGGCCTGTACATATGTTTGGCTGATTGCTATATTTGTTTTCCTTGGTGTGTTTGGGTAATTAATTTTAGAATTCCTAATTTATCGAGCACTTACTACATTTAATCTCTCTACAGCAGCCTCATAGGGTGGTATCTCTGCTTTGTTTATGAGGCTTAGGTTAGCTGACTTGTTCAGAATTACGAAGGTGACTCTTTCCTGTAGCAGAGAGTGGGGTGCTGGAGGAAGAGGCAGCCAGCAGCAGAAATGGATACCCCCAAAACACCACTCATTCCACCCTGTTTCTGCCTCCCATCCCACTCTCCTTGCTCTGAGTAGTGGTGTCTGAGTACAGGGCATCTCTGCAGCGGCGGATGCAACCCAGCAAGGAAGAGGGTGCCTTCCAGAGCCCAGTGCCTTCGGATGCTGGGGGGAAGGGTGTTCTGTCAGACTGCACACCTTCGCCTACGCCCACAGAGGTGAGCGCCTACCACCATCAGGGCAGAGCCTGCTGTGGGCAGGTTCTGGCGCCTTCCTATTACCAGCTTATTCATACCACATAGCTCCCTCTATGTAATTCCTGTTTCTTCCCAGGACTCATCCCTCTGAAGTGCTTAATAATAATAATAGTAATAATAATGGCCACTGTGCTTTATTGAGTAGTTACTCTGCTGTTCCAAGTACTTCATAGCTATTAACCCCACTAGGTGCAGGTTATTTCTGAGGATAAGATTGTTCTCCTTCAAGGAGGAGAAGGCTGAGGCAGAGTGGGTGCCGGAGGGTGGTGTTGCCAGGACTCAGACCAGGCCCTGTGGTTCCAGAGCCATGCTCCCAACCCCTGTGCTATAAGCCACTGCAGGTCCATCATGGTCTTGGTCCTACCTCCCTGTCCCTGCTGGGTCAGAGAGTACCTCTTTCCTTTGACTTCCTTCTTTCTTGCAGTTGTGCCATTTCCTCTGGGGCAGGAATAGAAGTTTTGGGAGACCCTGGGTGCTGGCTCATGGGAGGTGGCCTCTGCCTTAGGGGCCAGCGCTGCTATCCCTCTCCTTTTGTAATAAAGTCTCTCTTCCCAGGACCTCACGCCAGGCAGTGTGGAGGAGGCCGAGGAGGCTGAGCCTGATGAGGAGTTTAAAGATGCGATTGAGGTGGGTGGCCCTTCCCCAGCACCCCCTACTGACTGGGCCAGAAGTTGGGTGGTCCTGGAGCTGTGTGGCTTCTCACATCCCAAGTCTGGATTTTTGAAATTTTCTTATTTCCAAGTAAGAAGCTGAAATTTGCTCTGAGCTAGAACTCACTGGTGAAAGGCTGCCACTGAACCTCTGCCTGCCCTGTTGCTGACCTAGTGATTTGTCCTGGGTGCCAAGGGCAGGGATGGCTCTGGAAGCCTTGGGGAATGCCCTGCTGGGGATTGGCTGCAGACTGTGGACTTGGCACTTTTGATGTGGGGAAGGCATATTTGGGGGAGGGCACTGTTATGTGTCTCCGACTGCTCTTACGCAGAATTAGGTCTGAAAGATGCCCCTTTGGGGGGCAGGGAGGGGAGGTTGGAGAAAGTGGTTGCATGGCCAAGTGCTAGGTCAGAGAAAGTTAAACAGTCTTTCTGATTTTAAGACAGTGGTTCAAGCTGATAGTTTGCAGTGTTTTATTTGGCATACAAAACTTAAAAGTTTTTTTGAGCCAGTATTTAAAAATGGGGAGATTTCAGTCAAAACTCTGGATTTTCAGTTTTTCAGGAGCCCTGGTAGCCCTGAGTCTGCAGTGGTCCATGTAGCTGAAGAGTGACTGTGCCCTTTAGACAAGTCACATAGTCTCCACCACTCCTTATGTTCCCCAGTCACTGAGTCCTAGTGGCAGTTGTCATTTTGTTATATTTGCGTTACTGTTTTCTTACAGTAGGAAATACTTTATGTCTCTGTAAAGTGGGAAATTGAGATATAAGAAATGGGGCCTTGTGAGTTTTCACTGGGTCTGTGATTTACACCTGTTCTATTCACTTTTACATCAGCCCAATCCATGTATGCATTTACTTTCGAACTGCTAGAAGATTTGTCTGAGGCTGTCATATATGATGTAGACTCTGAATCTGGAATGGTGATGCTTTCCAGCATTTCTGATCATAAGCCACAGTGAGGAACACACATACATCTTGGCCCAGTTCATGCTTATGTCTGTAATATGTGTAAAGTTCCCTAATGAATATATCATAAGGGATCTTTTCTTTCCTGTTCTATTCTGTTAAAATAATGACCCTCTTAATTAATTTCACCCAGTTTGAAAACAGTATACAGCTTCTCCCAAACTTATATGATGTTGGGATCCTTTTATGGGGCCCTTTGTTAATGTCACCCTTTGGGATGTGCTTAGCAGAACTCAGAGTAGCACTTCAGTGTTTCCTTTTGCTGGGGGTCCCCCTGATAGCAGCTTTCTTCTTGCTCTCTTTCTGTTTTCTTTCTTCTCCCTGCACCTCGGGAAGCAGGAGACCCACTTGGTGGTACTGGTAAGTAGGAGCCTTGATGAGGTGGACGGGGACCGGGCAGGGGGAGGGTGGCCGAGCTGGCTGTGACCATACCTCGCGGGGTCTGCCGTGCTGGGGTGCCGTTGCACGCAGGCCCTGGAGCCCTGCCACAAGGTGGGCAGGACTGAAAGGAGCTGTTCCCACAGGAGGATGATGAGGGTGCCCCGTGTCCAGTAGAGGATGAGCTGGCCCTGCACGACAATGGGTTCCTGAGCAAGAATGAAGTGCTGCGCAGCAAGGTGTCACGGCTCACAGAGCGGCTTCGCAAGCGGTACCCCACCAACAACTTCGGTATGGCCAGGGGACAGGGATAGGGAGGTGGCACCATAGCCACAGGGCCAAAGTCTTGGAATTGTGGGTACTGGTTTATGACAAGAGCGAGGGGTACAGTGGTTTCCATGGGACCCTGGGAACACATAGCAAGATGGTTGAGAGAGTGAGTGTGGGTTCCTTCTTGTCCCTCTTATTGAGCATTAGCTTGTGGGAAGATAAGGAACTTGGTTCCAGAAATGCCACCCCTGGACTGCAAAGAGAGGTGTGATCCCAAAACAGGTGGAACCTCAGAAGACAGTGCAGCGTAATGGCTGAGAACAGAGTGTGGAGTCCGCCTGCTTGGTGCAACTCCTAGCTCCACTAGGTGTCCTTAAGCAAATTATTTAACTTCTCTGTGCCTCAGTTTCCCCTTTTGTAAAAGGAGGGTAATAATGGTTCTTACCTTACAGGGTTTTTTGGGACTCAAATGAGACAGTGCTTAGTAAGCGCTGGCACAGTGCTCGCTGGTTCATAGTAAGTGCTTAAGGGGCACTGTTGATATGCAAGGCCCCTGTCCATCCTGTGTGTGCATAGGAGCCTGTCTGGATCTTTCCTGTGCAGGTGGAAGCAAGTTAAAGCAAACATTGTCTTCCTCTGGGCATGATAGAGCCCTGAGGTCCCTTCTCCTCAGCCAAGTTCACAGATTGGCCAGCCCTTGTTTTCCTGGGGGCTAGGGTGGGTAAAGGACGGCAGCTTTGGAGAATGGTGGACTTGACTGGTCACACAGCTTAGAATCCTGGCTCAGATCAGGAGAGCAGGAGCTAAGATGGGTAGAGTTATGGCTGAAGCCTAGCAAGCTGGTGACTCGGGAGTCACCCAGGTCCTGAAGAAGAACTTTGCTTCTGCCTGGTATCAGCTGCCAGGGAGGACGATGGGGTGGCTGACTCTGTGTTCTGGTGGTAGTGACTTCTAGGGCCTGTGACCTGGGGGAAGCCCCTGGGATTTACCTTGAGGAATTGGATCCAGGACATCTAGGGGCTGCCTTCCTGCCCCTGCAGCAACCAGTTGTTTTCTCAGGGTTAAAGGTCCTGGACGTGCTGTTTCTTGCTGCTGTGTGAATGTCCTCTAGTCATGCAAGATATCTTTCTTTTATTTATGATGGTTGCTGACTTCTCTGGAGCACTCTGTGTTCAGTGCACTGATTCATTTAGTCCTGATGGTAGATGGGACAGGAACAGGCAGTTTTTAAGGGCTTAGAACCACCCAGGTTACAGAAGTCCCTAGTGACACCGCACACAAATTAATACTTTAGCTCTGGCAAGTGGTTCACTTATACCTGTGGATTTTAAGTAAAGGGCCTTAGATGTTCCTATTTTACAGGTGAATAACCTGAGGTGAAAAGAGTGAATTGCCGGCATGGAACAGACTGAGGGATCTCAGAGGGAAGGTGGGGAGTGGGGAGTGGGTGGGGAGAGATTAATCAGAGAACTTATATGCTTTATGCATAATCCATGGACACAGACACTGATCTGGGGAAGGCCTGGGGTTGGGATGGATGTGGGGTGGAGGGGATCAATGGGGATAAAAAGGGGACATCTGTAATATTTTCAACAATAAAGATAAAGACACTTAAAAAAAAAGTGATTTGCCCAAAGGTTTCTGCCAGTTAATGGTGGAGCTGTGACTCAAACCCAGGTCATCTGACCCGGCTCCTGTGTTCTTTCTAACTCATCAGCCTCCCTTTGCCCCTGGTTTTATGTCTGTCTCATTCCTGTATTTGGTTTTGGTTCAGCTAATCCCTGGCAGGGTGGGCAAGAGCCTTTTCAGGTTCCTATGAAGATGGCAAGGACAGAAAATGCTTTTCTTCCTAATCCCCTTAGTTCCCCATTCTTCTAGACCCCTCACTGTACCTTCCCGGAGATGTTCTCAAGCTCTTTTCTGTGCGGGCAGGTGTACTGTCTCTGTTCTTGGGTCTGATTCCTGCAGACCAAGGTGAGGTGAGCGGCTTTGCGGGTCCTTCCATTCCGGCTGTCAGTGTATGAAGGAGATGCATGGGAGGAATGAGTACAGGCCGCTCAGGAGCTTCTCTGTGGCCTCCAAGTGGGAGAGTCCTGATAGAAAGAGCCCCCTTTGTCCTGGAGGCTCCATCATCATGGCTCCAGCAGCCCCCATGCCATCTTAGGCTCCTCCCTGCTATATCACCCTCATGGCATCATCACGTGGTGAGTCAGGACCTTTGCTGAGAATAGGGGCAGGAAAAGTTGGTAGATGTTGGAAGGGAACAGGGGTGCTCTCCTCCTCTGTACACCTGTCTGAGCTGTTGACAGCACTCAGAGCCCTCCCTGGACCCAGGCTTGTGTCTGGGTACATGTGTGTTTCACTAGAACATGTAGATGACTTGGGGTGCTTGGCCCTCATCCAGTATAGAGGAATCCCCAGACATGGGCCGGAGTGTCAGTCTTTGGGTAGCTCCTTTCCACAGTTCCATACCCTTGCCACCTTTGCTAAGGAGAAGCAGAGGCAGGCTGCCTGGCCCAAATTCTTAGCATTGGGGACAGAATCTTGGAGCAGCTTGTTTCCTGGTTTGGCACCCCCAGCCAGCAGCACCTGCTGTGCTCTCTCTCCTTTCCTTTGCTGGGGTAATGACCTGACTGACAGCAACAGAATGTACCTTAGCACCTTGGCTTCAAGTTTCTCCTTGTTCTAGCTAGGACCTTCCTTTCCTTGAACACAGGGAGTGACCCTTAACAAGAGCTGCAGGGGATTCTGGCTGGACAGAGGAAGGGGCCACATGTAGGTGCCCCCAGTATAGCTTTGGGGTCTTTGTGTGAAGGTGAGGCCCGGCACTCTGTACCTGGCCAGACAGGTGGGCCAGGAGGCACAGTAGTGCTCCCTGAAGCTGATAATTTGTCTGGCCAGATCACGGAAGGCTTTGGGCTCCAAGTTCTGGAAACCTCCTCCAGTAGCCTTATCCCCTCTCAAGTTTTTCTAGGACCCAAGTCAGCTTCCTTCTGGGCCCACAGGGCTCTCTGGTTCCCCTTTGGGAACAGTGCATGCCTACTGTGGCTCGGTCCTCTCTGCCTGCATGGAGATGCCTGCACTGACCCATAGTGAGTACTCCCAGGGTGCAGCCCTCTAATCCTTCCTGTTGGGGTTTGCTTTTGCTTCTGGAGCTTGTTGAAGTCATAGAGCCCAGTGTGGCCTTTCCCCTGCTTCTCAGATCTCAGTTGCCTCCCTCCCTTTGATGCTCTTCATTCACCTTCATGTACCCCTTTCGTCAGACTGTGTCCTTGTTGCAGCCCACCTTTTCCATCTTCAGTTTCCTGGAGAAGGGAGGCGAGCACAGCTTCTTGTAGGCCTGCTTGCCTTGAAATGGCCTCTAAAAGAACGATTGCCCCTTCCTTGCCCATCCTTCATCTTTTCTTACACCCTCCTTCCTCCCTCCCAGCCATTTTCTAAAGTGCAATTGACGACTCTGTCATTGTCTGAACCTTTGTCATCTTGTTGTCTCTGGTTGTTTAGGCAGGATCTCTCTCCCAGCTCTGTCTCGCCCCATCCTGCCCATCACTCACAGTGCCTGCATCTCTGACCCTGTGCATCTTCTTGGTGGTGCCTGGTTCTGAGCTGCTCTCCTACAATCTTCAGATGACAGAAAGAAGGGCCTGGGGTTTTAGGAGGCATTTCTCTCTTTACCTGAGGGTGGAGTGTTTGTAAGGGCATACTTTGGAAGGGGTTGCCTCAGGCAGGTTTCATTTGAGGTTGTTGGAGCTGCCTCCTCTGAGGGGGATGCCTGTTGTCAGTTCCCCGCCAGTTTGACGTGGTTTTCAGGGGGGAGATTCTGCTGTATGCTCCTCTATTTCGGCTGGACCTGCAAGTGGGGCCTCTAAGCCCCAGTGTGGTACAGGGACTGGCAGCCATGTACAGTCTGGAGAAAATGGTTCCTTCCTTCTGTCTTTGGATCTGGACTTTGCCTCCTTGCTCACTGCTCCCAGCCAAGGAGTCTGGGCTGGGCTGGTGTCCTGAGTGTCCCCATTAAGAAGACCCAGGAGCAGGTGAGTGTTGAGAGGCCCAGGCTAGGTCAAGGCTGAGCTGCTGCCTCTTTCTCAGGGAGCTGTACGGGCTGCTCGGCCACCTTCTCAGTGCTGAAGAAGAGGGTAAGTCTCCTTGAGGGTGTCCTATTGGGTCTCAGTCCTGCCCCACCTGGGTACCTCCTCAGACCCACAGTGGTCCCAGGTTCCTTGGATGGGATCAGTGGGTGGGCAGGAGGGAGTGCTGGGCGCTGCAGGTGCCTGGGGCTGGGGGATGCATCTCACACTGACCTTGGCTCTTGTCTTCAGCGGAGTTGCAGTAACTGTGGAAACAGCTTCTGCTCCCGGTGCTGCTCCTTCAAGGTGCCCAAGTCTTCCATGGGGGCCACAGGTGAGTGATGCAAGCGCTTGGGGATCAGGGCAGTGGGAGGGCTAGGAGGTGCTGCCTTGTGGGATAGGCGTGAGGGGTCAGTGATAGGTCAAGGGAACTTGGGATCCTACTCTGGCCCCTAGTAACATCTCCCCAATCCCCCTTTAACAAACAAAAAACTGAAATATTTGATACATACAAAAGAATATATGATATATCTGAATTATGAAGTGTAATAATGAATGCCTGTGACTAGTTCACTGAAGTTAAAAAATAGAGCTGCATTAGCCACACCACTGAGTCTCCCCAGCGCCATGCCTGCCTCTCCCAGAGGAGACCACCATCCTGAGTTTCACTCGTTTTCTCATTACCGTGGTAATACTTTTAACAAAATAAAGAAGGCTGTCTTTTCCTTCTGTAAAAGCTCTACATACTCATTGCAAACAAAACAGAACATGTAGGTGAGCAGGAGGAAGAGCACCACACACGCGTAGGATAAATGCATATGCGCATTCTAGAAAGGGAGCCTGTCTTACATAGTTCCTTGTAATATGTTACAGTGAGAAGCAAGGGTTTTGTTTTTCCTTCTTCATGCAAGTAGCATATGCTTATACTAGAAGTTTTGGAAATTATACGGAAGAAGTAGGAAGAGAAAAATAATCCTGTAATCTTACCACCAGAGATAACCACTGTTAAAACATTTTGGAAATTTTTTTTCTGGTACTTTATTTAAAAAACATTTTGAAAGGTGTTGTGTTGGTGGCAAAATAATTTCTAATGCATAGAACACCTGGGAGAGTCCTTCTGTTGGTTTGGTCACACCCCAAATCCCTGGATCCCATGAAAAGAAAAGTCTCCAAGGGCAGGGTAGTGAGCTGGGTCAGCGAGGATGTGGGCTGGGCAGTAGGTGATCTGTGGGGCTTTGGGGGCTGGGGTGGTGGGTCATGAGCAAAATGGCATGAGGAACTGTCTCACCAAGTTCTTCCTCCTTTTCAGCCCCCGAAGCCCAGAGAGAAACTGTGTTTGTATGTGCCTCGTGTAACCAGACCTTGAACAAGTGAGAAGAGGGGACAGGGTCCAAGCAGGCGACAGTCCCTGGGCCAGCAATGGAACCCGCTCTCCCTACCCCTAGCCCCATGTGATGTGTTCTGGGCAAATGTGGCCCAAATGCTAGGTAGGCTTCCCCTTTCTGTTCTTGCTGTTTCCAGCTGGGTTCTGGAGCTGTTCCCCACTCCTGCAGATGGTCATTAATGGCTGCTTTCAAACCCCAGAGGGGAGAGGAGCCCCTGGAGGGTCTGGCATGTTTGCCTTGCTCTGTCCTGGGCTGTTAGTAGACTTTCGCCTGGCCAGGGAATATAAGCTAGAGGGCAGCAGAGAGCCATACCTCTGAGGATCAGGGGTCTCTCCAAAGCAGGGAATACTCTGAGACAGGAGATCAGAAACTGGGAAAAGAGATTCTTCCTCCCGCGGGATACTGGGCCAAGCCTTTCCCTCTGAGAGTCTGCAGAAGGGCTTGGGAGTGCCATGCTACAACTCTGCTGTTTGAATGTCCCTCCAGGCACTAGGATCTCATTATTTGCCCACCAGTACTTTTGGGCTAACAAGACCAAAAGTGTTTCTAGAAACACGGTTGAAGTTCCCAAGTTCCCCCAGAGGAGGACGTGTCTAGGAGGGCCTGGCAGAGTCCTTCTATTAACTAGAGCAAAATGTAGGGAACCCTAGGAGCTCGAAGGGCCTCAGCCCCACCTTGAAGAAACCTTGACTTATAGAATCTTAGCCCACATGCTGCCCTGGTGTCCTCAGCCCTGGCTAATAGGTGGCAGGCACTTAGATTACTTCTCCCCCTGCTCAGAGCCTCGGGCACCCCTCCGATGGCTCAGAGCTACATTTCCCCTCCCCAGCCCCTTGTCCTTCCGAGTGTGAGACAAGGCAAGCAGAGCAGAGGTCCTGAAGCCTTGACCCTTGGGGGCCTGGGAAGTGCATGATCTTGCCAAGCTGGGTCTTAGGTTCCAGGGCTGTTCTCCAGCAGGACAGTCTCAGTTATGGGCCAATTGGGGTCCCATCCTCTCTCTAGCAATTTCATATTCATTTATGTGCTCTTCGGGGCTTTGTGTGTCTCTAAGCCATGAGCGGGCTCAGGCACCCCTCCCTTCCTATGGAGCTGCCCTGCCTTTTTGAAGTATTTATTTATTTATTGCTTGGTTCCTGGGAACATGTGGCACAGGGAATGGGCTGAGGAGGTTGGGGGCTTCTCCTGCCCTAGGATGCTTCCCTGGAGTTGACTTAGAGCCCGTAGGAGGTGGAAATGTTTCTATACCCTAAGCAGGGACCCAGGAGGCAGGTTGGGGAGACAAGGACCATCCTAGGCCAGCTTTCTCGCCAGGCCAACCAGTCTAGCTAGGGCTGGGAAGACAGGAGCCTGCTCCAGGCTGGTGATGTGAAAGTCCCTGGGGAACCAGGTAGGCCTTGGTGTACCCCCTTCCTTGAGCTCCTTTGTCCTGTTTGGAGATGAGAGTTAAGTACCCTGTGCTTTATTACACTGGAGAGGAACTAAAGGACTTCTGTGTATATGGAGAATTATCAATAAAAAGGCCTCAAGCTTCTTATGTATTGGACCTTGTCCTTGCGCTCACCCTCTCTCTAAGCTGGAGAGCCGCCCCGCCCCCCCAGTGCCCCACTGCTGGCTGAGTTTGCAGGCCTGGGCTATGCGTGCAGCACAGAGCTGTACGGGCATGGAGGTTGGGTGTGAGCTGGGGGCAGGGGGAGGAAAGCTGTGCCTTGCACAGGATGGGCTCAGCACATGTTTGTTGAATTGACTTGAGGCTCTGTCTTGTGACCAAATTGTGGGGGCTGAGGTTGGTTGGGACCAGAATTCAGTAAACTCTAAGCAGTGCAGGCTTTAGAATGGAAAGTTTTTAACTAATCCCCCTGAGAAAGCAAAAAAGGATCAGACCTTGGAGAGGCGGCTTTGAGATGGGGGCATAAGCAGTTCTCTGAGAGCTGGAGTGTGTGTGGGGGGGTGTACTGGCTGCCAGGCACTGTGGTGAGTGCTTTACACACATTATTTCATTTAATCCTCACGATGGCCCTATGAGGCAGGTGCTGTATTTCTCCTCATTTTACAGGAAAGGAAATTGAGGACCAGGAAAGTTAAGTAGTAGTTGTGAAAGTTTCAGCATGGCACTTTGCAGACCAGGGCTGGATGTGAGCTATGTCTTCAGACTGTAGGCCTAGGGCAGTGAAGAAAGGAGTGTGAGATGCTGCCTTAGGGAGTTGAGGTTAGGTGGCAGCCCTGTGTATGTGCAACTTGGACTGAGGTGCCCGGGTGTCCTTGCAGCATGCTGCAGCCTTGGTCTGGTCTAGGTGGGATTCTGCAAAGCTCAGGAACTTCCCTTAGTGTGGAGAGCCCCAGCAACTTCAGAAGGCCCCTGAGAGGCAGGGAAGCAGCCAGGACCTTATCCCAGCAGTTTTTACAGATGAGCATGTTCACATTAAAAAGTATTAAGGCAGGCCTGGCATATGTGGCTCAGTTGGTTGGGTGTCATCCTGTGCACCTAAAGGTTGCTGGTTTGATTCCTGGTCAGGGCACATGCCCGAATTGCGGGCTCCATCCCCGCTAGGGGGCATGCAGGAGGCAGCTGATCTGTACTTCACACACTCCCTCTCCCTTTCTCTCTCTAAAAAAAAAACAAAGGTGTTAAGGCAGCCTCAGTAGTCTGGTGGGCCAGAAGATGTAGGAATGGAAAAAAAATAGGGCCTTTGAGCAAAAGGGGACAGGAGTGATTGCACATAGCACAGGCTTAGGGAAGAGGCGGCTGGGGCTGTGCTGGTGCTTCTTGTGGAGGGCAAGGTAGGTCAGCTGGAAGGCTGCTCAGAGATCATCCACTCCAGCCTCTCATCTGGAAGTGACACAGTGTTCATTTGAGGATGCATGTTCCCCACCACTTAGAGCCCGTATTAGCCAGGGAGTGTCCTTGAGGTGGTAGGGGTGAGCACTTGCTGTGGGCCGCCTCCATCCTTGGTCCTGCTCTCCCATCAGCTATTGGTGACACCATGTGAGTTGCCATAAGGACATTGCCCTTAGCCTTTCTATGTTGCTTTACTCATCTGTAAAATCAGTGTGATAGTGCCATCGACCTTGTAGGGCCGCTGTGAGGATTAAATGAGATAGTCCATGTGAGGTAGGAGTGCAGTGCCTAGCACCTAGTAAGCACTCAGTAAATGCTCCCTCATTACCACCATCCTGGAAATCTTTAGAGAAAGAACAAACAACTCTTCCCTGGGTGGCTTAGAACAGCAATCTTTTTTTTTTTTTTTACACGAGAGAATAATCTTAGATTGTTATTCAGGAAAGAATCTCAGAGAATGGCCAGAGTATAGTTGGAATAAGCAGAGTCAATGTCATTTTATTTTGGGAAAATGAAAACAGTGCCAGATGTTGGTGAAATGCAGACTGTAGCACAGTAGCTTGAAGGGCATGGGATACGGGGCATGAGAAACATGGTTCCCATCAGCTGAGTTCGGCAGCCTTGCAGAAGGGAAGCTGGGGGGCCCCTCCTGTATCGCATGTAGTGCATGTGAAGGGCCTCTGTGACAGCATGCCAGGGATGGACAACTTTTTTAATTTTTAAAAATATATCTTTATTAATTTCAGAGAGAGGAAGGGAGAGGGGGAGAGAGAGATAGAAACATCAGTGATGAGAGAGTCATTGATCGGCTGCCTCCTGCACATCCCTGACTGGGATCGAGCATGCAACCTGGGCATGTGCCCTGACCCGGAATCGAACCCCAATCGCCTGCATCCTAGGTTGATGCTCAACCACTGAGCCACGCCCGGCCGGGTGGACAACTTTAAAGGGCAGGTACCATTGGAAAATGGAACCATGGAGGGTTTTATCAGGACTGGATTGTGCCTTACAGTTGGCTGACAGAGTGCTGAATGTGGGGTGACCTGGAAGGCAGACTGTCCATTGCAGAGTTGGAGGCCTGTTTAAAAGATTCCTTCCAGTTCTTAAGCCCCCAGGAGGAGGAGACAGGAGCCAGGTTCAGCTGCAGCCCTTGTGCCTGCTGGGGCAGATCTGGAATGGGCTGCCAATTCCCACAGCCTGACTTGGGTTGAGGGTTCTGTCCATCTTTTTGTGGTTTGGTGGTAGTAGGGAGCAGCCTCTAGTGGCCCTGGCAGACCTTGTGCTGGTTGTGCTTTCTAGGATCTTTGTGGTCCTTGATCACCTTCGATGCTGAAACCAAAATGAAGCTCCATTTTCATTCCCTTGTCTCCATGGAACCTTCCAGGCAACCCTTTTGAGGGATCCTGGCTCCAGTATCTGTCCTACTGCTATCTATCCTAGCATTATCTATCCTAAGATAACGATAATAGCTATGTTTATTGAGCGCTTGTGCCAGGCAACAAGCTGAGCACAGTATCATTTAAATCTTATGAAAGTCCCCAAAGCTGGGTTCTGTTATTTATTACATTTAACTGATGGGTAAATGAAGGCACTGGGGAGGTTAAGTAACCCGCCTCAGGTCACATAGCTAGTAAGCCTGGGCTGGGATGTGAATTGTGCCACAGGTACCTATACATTGCCTCATAAGAGAAACTTTGGGAAAATAGCAATCCTGACTGTCACCCTCCCCCATTCTGCCTTGCCCCCACTAGCTCTGGGAGCTTCTTAGCCACTGAGCTAACAGGAGGGGCCTGCCCACCCCGAGCCTAACGAAGTGGGCTCAGCCTCCAGGGGAACAGAGGCAGCCTTGTGGTAGGAGCTCACCCCACTCCGCCAGCTCCCAGCACCCCCCTTCCTTGGCTGGTCTGTTTTAACACCCAGAGCAGCACATTCCATTCTCTGGCACAACTGGGGGCTGGGGACTCCGGATTCCCCTGGCTGCCTGCTCTCTTCATGGCCCCAGTAGAGCCTGCTGTCTGGGTTGGGACACTGGGTCCCAGCCACACACATTCCAGCAGTAACCACCCCCCACGTTGTATTTCCCAAAGAGTGAACTTTAGCTAGGATTACAGCCGACTAAACAGTTGTGGGATGTGAGCTTCCTTTGTGGGACCCAAGAGGCTGAATGCCGATGGGGCTGAGAAGAGAGTGGGGGTCAGGGTGGGCTGCTCTGGGAGTCTTGAGAAAAGCCACAGTCTGGGGCTGGCTCATAGCTACTGTCTGGGTTCTTGGAGTAGGATTGGTGCAGGGCTCCCAGAAATCTTCCTGGGGGTGGCAGAAGCCTGGCTGCCTGTACCCCTCTGGCCTGTCCTTGGCTCAAATACTAGCACTACCACCATGTACAAGCTGTGTGACCTTCAACAAGTTCCTTAACCTCTCTGAGCCTCAGCCACCTCATCATTAAAATAGGGTTAATATAGTACCTATCTCAAAGGACTGTTGAGAAGCTTAAATTAGAATGCTAAAGTGCTTTGAGTAGTACCTGCCACCTAGCATAGGCTTGGCGCTTATTGATTACTGGTATATATCTTCTCCCCTACATTGGCTTATGCACTGCTTGGGGATGTATATTCTGAAGCAAAAGTCCAAACGTAGGTTCCATTCCCCTTCTGTAAGTGACAATTCTTTTAGGTTAAGCTCTTACTGTCTTTTCCCTGCCTTCCTGTCAGTAGTGGTTTCTTAGTTGATTAACAAGTCAATTAGGGATTTACTGAGCACGTATTATGTGAGCTGGGTAAAGGCCTTTGGTTGATAAAAATGCTAACTACCATTTAATAAACATCTTCTAAATGCTGGGCATTGTTTCCAGGTACTTTTCATACATTTTTCCATTTAACATTGTTACCTTGTGAAGTAGACAAGCTGGGCGATGTTCCCAATGTCCCACGGTCACTAAGTCACAGGATTGGAACCCAGAACTGGGTTTTACTGCCTCTTCTCACCTGATTCTGAGTGTTTAGCAGCCTATCCCCCATCCTTCCTGGTCTTTCACAGAACTCTGATTTAGTACGCGGCTGAAACACTTGACTTCCTCTGCTCCCTTGTAACTCGGGGTGGCCGTGTGACTTCGTCTGGTTGGTGAGCTGGAAGTGGAAATCTACCAGGTGGAACTTGTTGGGAAATTACTGTTTTCCTGATCAAAAGGGCCAGAGGCAGCTGACGCGCTGCTTTTGCTATTAGCCCTTCCCTGCCTTGCTGCCCGAGTGTGGCTGAGAAGTTGGGAGGAGGCAGCACCATCTTGTAACTGAGCACGGAAGCCACCCCCTGGCAGAGCAGGAAGACAGAATGAGTCTGGGACATGGATCTTCCTCTGCCCATCTCCAGACTTCTAGTGTGGAGAAGCCCCAGTCTTGGCGTTGCTGTTTCGTGAAGTCAGATGCAGTCCTTCACGATACACAGCCCCATGCTTGCTGTCAGCGCCAACTGCCTGTCTCCAGACCAACCAGGAGGGAGCATTGTGACTGAAGGAAATGAAGGGTGGGCTCCAGGGCCTCCCTGGTCTCTGGGAGGATTTTTCTTGGTCCCAGGGAAGAGACTGCTGGGGTTCTGACAGCAGACATCGGGGACAGAACTGGCATGTAGAGAAGGCCTGACCCCTTTGTGGGGGTTGGGTGAGAAGTGCTTTCCTGGGCTGGGCTGAGGGAGCCTCTCCCACCGCCTCCCTCTCACGGCTGCCAGCACCTGACAGAGGTCAGTATTGTGCTCTAGCCAGAAGAGGCCCAGTCCTGTATGTTCAGTGGAAAAATAATCCCTGGTCCTGGTTGACCATAGAAGTGTCCGTAAACATTTGGTCTGGGTAGGAGGCTGGGAGACAAGGGGCGGATTCAGGGAGCCAGGTGGGCCCGGCAGGCTTTGGGCGAGGGTGGGTGGCGGTGGCTTCCTCAGAGGTGAGCAGGAACAAGCAGGCCTCTGCTGCTCCTGACCTGCGGGGAGGCCACCTGACGGCCGGGGAGGTGATTTATGGGCAGGCTGTCAGACCACCTGTTAGCTCTGGGCCCCCAGCGGAATTCAGGCCCTCCGGCCTTCTCATTTCTCTATGGCAACCCGCTCCTCTGAGAGCCACGAAGCCAAGGTTTGTCTCACCTCATGAGAATGCGGCTTCATTGTCTTGGAGGAGCAGCAGGCTGTGGCTGCACTCAGCATCCCAGCTGTACCCTCGCTGGTGAGGAAACTCCTCTGAGGGTGTCCCCGGCTCCCTGCTCTGGATGCATCTGCCCTGTCCCTCAGTATCTGCTGATGGACGCCCCCACCCCCTGGCCAGGACTCTTTCTGGGCACCAACTCTTCCAAATGCTGGACATTTGACTGGTAATAGCCTGTTGGCTCCACTTCAAGTCTTGTCCCCTCCCTGCCCTGTCCAGCTCAACTGAGCAGCCTCATCTGCTCTGAGCAACCTGAAGAAGCCCCCTCAGGCATCCTAGCTGATCCCCTCCCTGCCTGCAGGACCAACACCCTTCCAGCCTGAGGAAACTCAGCCCCTCGCCCTCCTCCTGCCTCAGCTGTGGGCTTATCTAGATACCTAGATGGAGGTTCTTCCCCCAGCTGCAAACCACCCTGGGGAGCATCGAGAATGCTGATTTCTGAACACTCTCCAGAGCTTTGGATTTAATTGCTTTAAAGTGAAGTCCAGTGTTTTGTTGAAGCTCCTTAGATGATTGGAAGCCTTATGTGTCAAATGTAGATATTGCCAGTGTAGGCGGGGCCTGAGCTTCTGCATTGTGCAGATGCTCTGGTCCAGGGCCCATGCTGAGAGGCCACTGTTCTACACTCTTGTCTCCTATAGGTCAGGACCAGTGCGCAGGGGTGTCTGAGTGCTGAAAGTGTAGGAGTGACACTCCAGGCCTCTGGCTCTTCTGAGTAGTTCTGTGGCCCAGCCTTCTTGGGTTCCTCAGAGCAGGCATTACCCAAGTTGGGGAGACTCTTCAGGACCGTGGGAGCCTTCTGACCGTGGGAATAAGCTGGGGAACTTGGCATCTCTATCCGTCCTCAGGGACAAAAGAGGGTCATCTCCATCCCTCATTAATGGTGGGGACTATTAGGGTGCTCTTGGGGGATCCTGCACAAACATCGACATTGTCTTAGGCATCCTGAGTATGTCTGTGTGGACAGGTCATGGGCTGACAAGGGGTTCTTTCTAAAAGTCCCTTCTGAACCTCCCTCTCTCCACCTCTGGGGAAGTGCCTGACAAAGAAATCACCTGGTCAAAACCAACTATTGTTTTCTTTGATTTAATTAAAAACTTAAAAAAAAAAAAAATTAAAGACCAAACACTACCTGCATCAGTCTAGTACCTGTGGCCTCATAGCAGTAGCAATAATTTACTCTTCATCAAGGTAAAGGGACATGCGGGGCTGAGGAATGAACCCCAAGAAGCGAGCCTGTGGAAGGGGGCCTAGGCTGGGCTTCTCTCCAGTCCAGGGGGAAGGGAACTGGCAGAGATGGGGACAGTGGGGAGGTGTGGCTGGAGGGCACTGTGACCCTAATGCCTTTCCTTTGGGGGCTACGAGAAGACACATGAAGGGGCACTGGGGGTGGAGAACTGTCTTCCAAGTAGCTCAGCCTAATATCAAGACTTCCCTCTCCAAGGCGAGGCCCCACCAGCAGCAGAGGGGAGCTGACACCATGGTCCACTCCAGAAACCATCTGGGCCGCTCATAGACCCTCTACCCTTCCCTCCATCTCTCCTCCCTGCCTACTTTCTGAGACCCTCAGGGTTTCACCTCAAAAGAGAAAGCCTGATTTCTAAGAGAAGAAGCCCCCAGATACCGCAGAACCCCTCGGTCAAGCCCTGGCTCCATGCCCATCCCTTAGGGCCTGTGCTGGGCCTTGGGGCCAGGGCAGGAGGTGACAGGGAGTCCCGGGGCAAGGCACAGCTGGCTGGTGGGGCAGGGCAAGGCACTCTTCAGTGGGGCTCGGCAGCCCCGTAGAAGAAGGGGTAGTAGAGGGAGCAGGGGTAGGAGAACATGAACTTGACGGCGAACTTCATCTCCTTATTCTTCTTGTCCCAGCGGTAGACGGCCATGAGCAGCAGCTGTCCGTCTACCTTGCGGCCCATGACCAGGAAGCTGCCAGCCAGGCTGTCCAGCTGTGGGCAGGGGCAGCCCGCACCGTTCTTCATATGCAGCACCAGCCTCTTGGTGTCCTTGCGCTTCAGGGGGCCCGGCTTGAGCAGCTTCTTCTTTTTCTGGGCTCCAATCAGCTTCCGGTCCCCATTCTCTATCTTGATCTCCTTGATGCGCATTTTGACCACTGTGGGGGCGGACAGAGGACAGCCTGAGAATGGGCAGGCTGGCCCAGGACGCTGGTGGCCCCACAGTTGGTGCTTATGCCTGAGGCTTCAAGCCTGGAGTGTACATGTTATATTTATGAAGCTCCTATCATGTGTTGGACTTTCACAGACATTATCACGTGTTATCCTAGAGGTATAGGTGGGGGTGGGGGGTGGAAATGAGGTTTGGAGAGGTTGTGAGCTGCCCCAGTTCTAGAGCCTGGATTGAAGGGAGGTCTAGTGGACTCCAGAACCCTCGCCCTTCCCAACAGGACGTGCACAGTGGAGAGCTCTCAATGGGGAGTGGGCTTTTGGGCTCTCCAGGGAGGGAAGTATTGGAGGTGTGGTGACCAATTGGAGGGTTTGGTGGAGAGGGGTCCTTGAGATGGAGGGAGGCTGATCTCTGGGGATATTTCTGAATGGAACTTGTGTGTGTGTGTGTGGAGTAGAGTGTATATGGTGGGTATGAGTGTGTGTGTGTGTGTGTGTGTGTGGAGTGTATATGGTGGGTGTGAGTCTGTGTGTGTGTGGAGTGGAGTGTAATGGTGGGTATGAGTGTGTGTGTGTGTGGAGTGGAGTGTATATGGTGGGTATGAGTGTGTGTGTGTGTGTGTGTGTGTGTGTGGAGTGTATATGGTGGGTGTGAGTCTGTGTGTGTGTGGAGTGTATATGGTGGGTGTGAGTCTGTGTGTGTGTGTGTGGAGTGGAGTGTATATGGTGGGTATGAGTGTGAGTGTGTGTGTGTATGTGTGTGGAGTGTATATGGTGGGTATGAGTCTGTGAGTGTGTGGTGTGGAGTGTATATGGTGGGTATGAGTCTCTGTGTGTGTGTGCACACGCATGGTGTTTGACAGCTGGCTCTGGGGAGGGCCTGCCCTGTAGCACGTGCTGGTTCCCATGGGGTAAACCCCTCTCTATGACCCCCACATCACCGAGCGCAAGGTTGGGAAGCGCTGTGCACAGCCAGCTCTTGGTGGTGTGAACACACGACCGTAATCTGTGTGAGACTGCAGTGTGGGAGGGAGTGTGGATGTGTGGTATATGTGTTTTGTGTATGGGTGTGGGGTAATAGGGGTGTGTGGTTGAAGATGAGAGTGGTCAGAGAGTGTTCAGGGCACTCCAAGGTGACCACAGCCAGCCTAACACAGTTGGGAACAGAGTCCTGAGCTTGGGGACGAGTCACTTGGGCTAGTCTCCCCCTTCTTCAGGCCTCTGGGCCCCACCTCTGAGCATCCAAGGGAGAAGCCAGAGAATAACATTTCTACCCAGGGAAGGAAATTGTTATAAATTCTCTCCTCTTTCTCCCTCTCCCCCTACCTCCTCATTTTCTCTCTTGGACACAGCCACCCCTTGCTTTAGCCGTATTCTCTTTCCAAACAGATCAGTGACCTGAAAGACCTGCTGAAGTAAGGATTTCGTTGCTCTCTCTTTTATAGACAGGGAGGCCAAGACACAAAACAGGAGCCGACTTGGCAAAGGTCACAAGCTGGGCTGTGTGGTCCACGCAGGAGCCAGGGCCTGACTGGACTTGGCTCAGCTGCCCCAGGAATGAGGCGCTCCACGATGAAGCTGTGGGGCAGGTGACCACAGCTCCCCTGACTAGAGTGCATCGGGTGCTCAGCAAAGGACCCAGGGACAAGGGGGCTGCGCTTCTGTCCTGGAGCCCGTCTCTCCCCACCTGCTGCCCCCATCCATCTCGGGGCTAAGNGAGTGTATATGGTGGGTATGAGTCTCTGTGTGTGTGTGCACACGCATGGTGTTTGACAGCTGGCTCTGGGGAGGGCCTGCCCTGTAGCACGTGCTGGTTCCCATGGGGTAAACCCCTCTCTATGACCCCCACATCACCGAGCGCAAGGTTGGGAAGCGCTGTGCACAGCCAGCTCTTGGTGGTGTGAACACACGACCGTAATCTGTGTGAGACTGCAGTGTGGGAGGGAGTGTGGATGTGTGGTATATGTGTTTTGTGTATGGGTGTGGGGTAATAGGGGTGTGTGGTTGAAGATGAGAGTGGTCAGAGAGTGTTCAGGGCACTCCAAGGTGACCACAGCCAGCCTAACACAGTTGGGAACAGAGTCCTGAGCTTGGGGACGAGTCACTTGGGCTAGTCTCCCCCTTCTTCAGGCCTCTGGGCCCCACCTCTGAGCATCCAAGGGAGAAGCCAGAGAATAACATTTCTACCCAGGGAAGGAAATTGTTATAAATTCTCTCCTCTTTCTCCCTCTCCCCCTACCTCCTCATTTTCTCTCTTGGACACAGCCACCCCTTGCTTTAGCCGTATTCTCTTTCCAAACAGATCAGTGACCTGAAAGACCTGCTGAAGTAAGGATTTCGTTGCTCTCTCTTTTATAGACAGGGAGGCCAAGACACAAAACAGGAGCCGACTTGGCAAAGGTCACAAGCTGGGCTGTGTGGTCCACGCAGGAGCCAGGGCCTGACTGGACTTGGCTCAGCTGCCCCAGGAATGAGGCGCTCCACGATGAAGCTGTGGGGCAGGTGACCACAGCTCCCCTGACTAGAGTGCATCGGGTGCTCAGCAAAGGACCCAGGGACAAGGGGGCTGCGCTTCTGTCCTGGAGCCCGTCTCTCCCCACCTGCTGCCCCCATCCATCTCGGGGCTAAGCCTGCTCACCAAAGAGAACCCAGCCCTGGAGGCCCCTCTGTGGACAGTGCCAAGGGAGGGCTGCAGGAGCCCTGGCCTGAGAACCATGGCCTGAAGCCCCTGAGATGATGTTAAAAAAGAGGGGCATCTCTCTGGGGAGAGGGTTCATGGTTATCATCAGTCTAAAAAGGGTCCATAAGACAAAAACGGTTAGGGTTCACAGTGACGGGTGTGTGCATATGTGTTCATATGTGTGCAGGTCAAGGAGGAGGGGCTGGGGGTGGCTGTGTGGGCTCCACACTCACCGAAGTCGCTGGAGCACATCTGCTCCATGAGGCCATCCGCGTTGTGCTCCATCTCACACTGGGCACAGATCTTGGTCACTGAAGAGAGAAGCAAGGGTGGGGTCGAGGGAGGCTGGTATGGGGACCAGAGTCCAAAGAACCACTTAGGGTGCAGACTCACCCACTGACAAGCCGCCTGCCCCTGCCCAGCCCCTGCTGCCTTATCAGGAAATGGGATGATGGTAGTGGTAACAGGACCTGCTCACTGAGTGGCTGTGAACATGAAAAGAGAAGGCTGTGCAGGGACAAAGCTGCCCAGGTGGGCACGACTGCCCACGGCCCTGGCAGCTGCAGCCATGACGTGCACTGTCTTCTAAATTTTGTTTCATTTAATCCTCAGTCTATGAAGTAGGTATTTGTTTTAAAGAAAAGGAAACTGAGGGTCAGAGTGGCTACCCAAGTCTGCAAAGCCATGAAAACTGAGTGTAGAACTCAGGGTTTGTGACTCCCAGGCTAGTGCTGGGGTGGGGGTGTTTGTGGGGTCCCACTAGGAACACAGGGTCCAGGCATGTGGGTAGACAAGTGATGCTGGCAGGGCCAGGACTGTGGTAGAGGAGCACCCACCCCTCTAGAGTGTGCAGCCTTAGCCCTGCCAGGATTTCTGATTTTTCAAAGGAAGCCCAAACTCTTAATTTTTATATGAAATATTCTGAGTATTGTCTGTTACACTCAGGCTGCTGGTCCTGGGGCCACCACATAGCACCTGACCTCTGCACTCCCATGTCTCTGTCTCCAGGTGGCCCCCAGCATGGGGTAGAGAGGGACCCAGGGAGGGCCGAGTGCAAGGGTAGGGGCCGGGTAGATTCCAAGCCTCGGACTTCCCTGCCGTCCACACTGTTCATGGTTGGGCTCTAAGAAAACCAGAAGAGGAACCAGCTGGGATCCCTGCTGGGGACTATGCTGCCTCTGAGCAAGCTGTTCTTTCTCCCTGCTTCCCTGCCCCACTTTCAACCCTTTCATCCCGTGGGGTGGGGAGCGTCCCTCCTCTCGACACTGAGACCCTCCGACACTCTGGTCACAGGAGAGGGGGTGGTGTGTTCCTTGGCGAGGCTAGCCCTGCAGGGTGGGGGGCCTGTTGGGGCCCAGCTGTTTTGGGGAGCCAGGTCAGATGGGAAAAAAGGAGAGCTGTGATGCCCTATGGGGAAGTCCCAGCGTTGGGGCTCCTTAGACGCAGCCTCCTAGGCAAAGCTTTCTGCTCGGTGCAGGGGTTTACCCTCCTGTCGGGCGCCGGCTGTGGGCTATTCTGCCTGAAAGGAGTTGGGCAGACAGGGTGAAGGGGGAGGGGGGCGCACAGTGAAGGGGGGCTGAGACCAAGGAGGAATTAGGGGTAATGGGACTTGGGAGGTGGGTGGGAGGCAGAACCTAGGATGTCATAGGAACCTGGGGTCTCTTTCTATGTCACAGATGGGGAACCCGATGCTCAAAGTTAAGCAGCTCCCTGAAGGGGCAGAGCCTGGCAATCTGCTCTTTTTTCTGCACTGGGTCTTGCCCAAGGTCTCCCGGTCTGGGGGACTGGGAAGAGAGAGGGAAAATTTAGGGTTCCCAGGAATAGAAAATAGGGAGATGGAAATCATAGCCCAAGTGTGCACTTAGCCCTCCGTCTTTCACTATATCCCCTCCCTCACCCTCCTCCCCTCCCAAGGTCCCCACCAAACTGGGTGGGGATCCTTGCCGTGTGCCTTGGGGTCCAGGGCTGTGGGGGAGGTGAAAGGCATTGTTTAGCGACCCCCAGAACTCGGGCTGAGAGAGGGATTGAGGCATTTATCAGGATGCCCTAGGATGAGGGGACAGTATTGGGGCCACCCCAGGGATTCCAACGGTTTGGGAAGGTGGGCGCTGCAAGGGAAGCCTGGGGGGTTGTCAGGAACAGAGTTGAAACGGGGAGAGCCAGTGGGAATGTCCAGAGCCGCAGGGGGGTCCTGCTCTGGCAGTCCACGGGGGAGGAGGGAAGGCTGGAAGGCTGTGGGAGACAATCCCCGGGGTGCGTTTGTGTGTGTGTGTGTGTGTGTGTGTGTGTGTGTACAAGGGTTGACACCTCTGGGGGCTCGCAGAGCTGTGCTAAGGGGATGGGGAGTGGCATCCGTGCGGGGCCCAGCTCGCGGGCACCGAGGCCATGGGAGCGCGCAGGGACGGCGGCGGCAGCGCTACCTGGAGGCGCGGTGGCGGGCAGGTGCCCGAACTGCACAGCGATGCAGAGGTCGTTGTCCAGGGGAAACTTGTGGCAGTGCAGCATCTCGGGCCAGGGGAAGCCGTAGGCCTCCATGAGCGGCGCGCAGCCGGCGCGCACGGCCTCGCACAGCGAGCGGCACGGGTAGATGGGCTGGTCGAGGCAGACGGGGGCGAAGAGCGAGCAGAGGAAGACCTGCGTGTCCGAGTGGCAGCGCTTGGCCAGCAGCGGCAGCCAGCTGCTCGCCTGCTGCTTCACCTCGGCCAGGCTCTCGTGCTCCAGCAGGTTGGGCAGCCGCATGCGCTTGTAGCCCACCGTGTGGCAGAGCGGCAGGTCCGCGGGGATG